GATCCAGACCCACATCAGTCTCCTTGCTCAGCAGGAAGCCTGCTTCTCTCTCTCCCTCTGCCTATAGCTCCCCCTGCTTCTGCTCTCTGGCTCTCTGTCAAATAAATAAATTAAAATTAAAATTAAGTTAAATAATAATTAAAATTACTAGACACTTAAAAGTAATAAACATGTTGCATGCAGTAATATGAAACAATCTCAAAATACATATGCTGAGTGAAAGAAGTTAGACAACAAAAGAAATACATACAGATGAGTCCACTTATGTAGTCCATTTCCATACAATTTAAAAGGTCACTATATCACAATTCATTGTACATATTTAAATATATAAATACTGTATTATGCCTGTGTAATCGTATACAATAGAAAATTCCAGAAAATGACAATAAATCTATAGTACAGGAAGTTCTGGCTAGTGCTTGTCCAAGGATAAAGGGGTGGAAATGGGAGGAAAGGAAGGGATTACCAAGGTGCATGATGAACTGCAGGGCAATGGATATCTTCATTATCCTGATTGGGAAAACGGTTTCATGGTGTGTTCACATGTGTCAAAACTCACAAAACTGCCTTCTTTATATACATGCAGTTTGCAGTTTACTATATGTCATTTGTATTTTCATAGAGCATAAGAAAATACAATGTATAACAAGGTGACCCTATGCTTTCACCTGTGAGATATACAAAATGAAACAGAATGATAAGGTTCTGATTTGAAGATGGCAAATTACACCCAGGCATCTGACTCTTCAGTTCACCCCAATCTTCCACTCTAGGTTCCCAAGGTAATAATAAGATAAGATCTTAAAAGGAAATCCAACACTCAAGGGAAGTACTCAGGCTACAGCAAAAACTCATCCAATTTTCAGAGTAATTTAGTTGACAGTGTTTCCTTAATAGTTTTGTTTGATCACTAATTTTTCTCTAATCATTGGTGGCCTCAGATGGGTGCCTGTAGTAGAAAGGATGAGGAAGTGATATGAGGCATAGAACATTCCATTCTCTCTGTCTGTCTCTCAGGAAGTCCCCAAAGACCTATCTGATGGTTCTTCCATGTGTGCTGAGAACTGACCTGCATTGGCTACTTTATTAGTAAAGTGGGTATAAGGAAAATACTGACATTGAGAAGTTCAAAGGACTCTAAGAGCTAGAGAAACATTCGGGTAAGAAATGGGGGAGATGCTGAGAGGAGCTAGAAGGAGCAAGGAGGGAGTGGCTGGCCTTGCAGGTTTGGGGGATTCTCTCACCTTATGATTCTCTCCTGCCCCTCCCTGTGTTTCTTTCTTTTTGTTCCTTTCCTTGTCCAAAGTAAGGTTTCTGAGCTTTTCCTCTTCGTGGTTATCTCAGGGAATAATTGATAATCCTGCCCCTGTAGTTGGGTTCGCTGTATAGCTAACATGTATTTTGGGGGCCCCTTTCAGGCACTCCTCCCTCAGCACTGTTGCCCCAGCTGCCCAGGTTCATGGAGTTTCTTTGCAAGCAGAACCCAAGCACTTCTTTCATAAATGCTTGGCTGTTTGTCATGCAGATACTTTTTCACTTCAGTTTTTTTACTTCATTTAAAAAGCAATATATCTTAAAGGCAGACATACAGACCAGCAGACTAGAATAGAGAGCCCAGAAATAAGCCCTCACATATATGGTCAAATGATTTTTGACCAGAGTGCCAAAACCATTCAATGCGGAAAGGACAGTCTTTTCAACAAGTGGTGCTGGGGAAACTGAATATCCACATGCAAAAGAATGAAGCTGGACTCTTACCCAACACAACATACAAAAAACTCAAAATGGGTAAAAAGACCTAAATATAAGAACTTAAACCTGGGGTGCCTGGGTGGCTCAAGTGGGTTAAAGCCTCTGCCTTCAGCTCAGGTCATGATCCCAGGGTCCTGGGATCCAGCCGTTGGTGGGCTCTCCTCAACAGGGAGTCTGCCTTTCCCTCTGACCCTCCCCCGGCTCATGTGCAAATGAGCGCTCACACTCATTCTCTCTCTCTCCCTCTCTAATAAATAAATTAATACTCTTTTTAAAAATTTTTTAAAAATAAAACAGGACAAAAGCTTCAGGACATTGGATTTGGTGATGATTTCTCAGATATGAAACCAAAGACACAGGCAACAACAACAAAGATAGACAAATTAGGCTTCCTGAAAATGCAAAAAAAATTGTGCATCAGACGACACTATTAACAGAGTAAAAAGGCAATCCACAGAATGGGGGGAAATATTTGCAAATATCTGATAAAGGATTAATATCCAGAATGTTTAGAGAGCTCTTAAAACTCAACAACAAATAATTGATTCAGAAGTTGACAAAAGATTTGAATTGACATTGCTCCAAAGAAGATATATAAATGGCCAATAAGCACATGAAAAAATGCTCAACATCACAAATCATTACAGCAATGCTAATCATGATGATGAGATACCATCTTAAACCCATCATGTTGGCTGCTAAAAACAAAAACAAAAACAAAACCAGAAAATAACAAGTGCTGATGAGACTGTGGAGAAACTAGAACCCTCTTGGGCTGTTGTCAGGAATATAAAATGGTGCAGCTGCTATGGAAAACAGCATGGTTGTTCCTCAAAAAAGTAAAAATAGAATTACCATTTGATCTAGCAAGCCCACATGTGGCTATATGTGCCAAAGAACTGAAAGAAGAGTTTTAAAGAGGCATTTACATACCCGTGTTCATAGCAGTGTTATTCCCAATAGCTAAGATGTGGAAGCAACCCAAGGTCCATCAAAAGATGAATGAATAAGCAAAATGTGGTATATTCATACAATAGAATGTTACCCGGCCTTAAAAAGAAAGGAAATCCTGTCACATGCTACAACATGGATGAATATTGAGGACATGTCCAATAGAATAAGCTAGTCACAAAAGGGTAACTATTATATGATTCCACTTCCATTAGGTATCCAAATGCATAGAAACAAAGTAGAACAATGGTTGCCCTGGCCTGAGGGGAGAGGAAATGGGAGTTACTGTTTAATAAGTACAAAGTTGCAGTTTTACAAGATAAAAAGAGTTCTGGAGATGGGTGATGGTAGTGGTTGCACAACATCATGAGTGTATTTAGTACCACTCAACTTAAAGATGGTTAAGACTGAAAATTTTACATTGTGTGTATTCTCCCACAATAAAAAAAAAAAAAGAGGGGAAAATATTATATACCTGAACAAGTTAAAAACAATTTAATACCGCTTTTCCACAAGGCCACCAAAGGATGAGGGTGCATGGGGCACTGTCCGCCAAGTGGGCTGGGCAGCAGCATCTGCTGGCCTGTCGCTGGGCTCCTCGAGGTGCAACAGAGCCTATGAGGTGAAGATGAATGAAGGTCATCCTGATGTTTTCCAGAAACTGCTCACAGGACGACTGTGATAAAACCACGGGGAGCACAACTGCACGTAAGGAGCATATAGGTAGCTGCTGATGAATATTCAAGTCCCAAACTATCCTGGTCAAAATTCATTCCCTAGAGGCATGCAGTTGGAAGGAAAAATGAAGAATTGGCCAAAACGCCATGAATTGAAACACATGATGAAAATTAGTTTTTTATTTAACATTGATCACCTCACAATAAATTATGTAGAAAAAATACATGTTTGAGTACTTGTAATTGCTGGGCAATAAAGTCTATTATCTTTAAAATATTTTTTTAAAAACCACAATTCGATACCAAAAAATATATATATTGTAAAAAAAAGAATTCTCCCTTCATTCACTCACATTTACCAGTGGTCCCTTTCCCATAGGAGCCCTGAACTTGCCTCATATACTCTTTAGAGACTCTCACACATGTAACATTCTGGACACTGTGTCTGGCTTTCTTTGCTTTGACTTAGCCCTGTGTCCTGATGTGTTTCATATGAAATTACATAAAACTTCATTATTTTTAATGTTTGCACACTGGCCCATTTTATGAGTGCATACTTATTATGCCATTTGCATAAAGTTCCTAAATAGGCAAAACTAACCTTTGGTGGTACAATTCAGGAAAGGAGTCACCTCGGAAGATGAGCCGGGCAGCGACTGAGGGAAGCGGATAGATTCTGGGGTACTGGTCATGCTCTGTTCTTAAACTCAGTAACGGTTATACAAGAGTGCCCACATTGTAATAATTCACTGAAATGTGATTTCTGCACTTTTCTGTACAATGTGCTTCACTTTCACCCAATTTAATTTCACAGTTTAGTGGGAAAGTTCTAAAGAGAAGCAAATAACTATGGCTCAGTTTGGCAAATGAATTTGGGACCCGATCCCTTGCACCGCTGAGGCAGCAGACCCCGGGGGGGCGGGAGGCTGCCAGCAAGCTGACCCCAGCTGTTGCGGGCTGGAGACCCCCCGGGCTAGTTCCAGAGTTGTGAGGCCCCTCGGTCCCCACATCTGCAAAATGGGAATAAGAATACAGCTACCTGACGGTTAGTGCAAGGATTTCATATAATCTATGTAAAACGGGTAGAAGGGCTCCGCGAACACATAGCAGGTGTTCGACTAACGCCAGCTACCAAGTTAGCACAGAACTGAAATTTTTCCACGGAAAAGGATTCTCCCCCGTGCTCAGTAAAGAAACGCTCTGGGTAAAATATCCAGACCCGGCCTCCTCGGGGATCCGGCCTCACGAAGTAGCGTGGTCACAGGTGCTGCCACTCGGGAACGAAGTTTTCCTGGACAAGTGACTCTCAGACACCCCCTTGATTCTGCCCAGGTCCCCTTTAAGGGCTGAGCCATGACGTCATCCCCCCGCCCCCCCCCCCCCAAAAAAACCCTCAACACCGCGCAGCCTATCTTGAAAGCGCCCCGGCAGTACTTCCGGGAGGCCGCAATTGGCTGGTCAGCAGCCGGAGGCTCCGCCCCTTGGCCCGCAGCGGACCCCGGGCGCCTGCCGTCAATCCGCGCAAGTGGGAACGGTGATTGGCCGGGATGGGGGGAGCGCCCTCCAGCAAGCCCCGCGGGGCTGGTGTAGGCTGCGCTCGCGGGATGGGCGGGGCGCGCCGCGGTGTATAGAGCGGCGGCGGTCCAGGTCCGCACGCCCGCGGGTTCTTCCTGCAGCCCCCCGCTGGGCAGGGCCGGCCGGGCCCGGCCATGGAGTCCTACGACATTATCGCCAACCAGCCCGTGGTCATCGACAACGTGAGGCCCGGCAGTCGGGGGGAGGACGGGCGCCCTGCCCCCGGGGGCGCACGCGGTGGCGCCGGGAGGGGACCCTCGCCGGTCTCGACTAGTCCTCAATGCACTGCCCGCCCTCCACGTCCGCCAGGGGCTCTCCTGCTCAGTTGGCTCTGTAGCCCGGGTCCTGGAACCAGCCCCTCCACTGCAGCGGAGCTCCACGAGCCCGGCGGGGAGGGGCTGGAGACGCAGGGGACCCATCAGTCTGGCGGCACTTGATCAGCATCGGGAGTGCTCGAGTGACAGCCCAGCGGCCCAGCAATGCACCCGTGTGTCAGGCCTGAGGACCCACTCTGGACCCTTCTTGGTTGGGGGGTGGGGGCGGTCACTGGTTAGGTTTCAGCGCCAGACCCTTTAGCCCCTATTTGGGTTCTGGCTGCCCTTCCTCGTAGAAGAGGAGAGACAGCATTTGCCCTTTTGCACGGTGCTGGCCTGATCTTTCAGAGGGAGTTCGCTTGGTGACCTCTACAAGAGCACTTACCAAGAGGCTGCAACTCTTAGGACCTCCAGAGTGGACAGTCCCTACTGTGCTCTTTGACTGGAAAATATGTATATTGTATATATAGGTTAAGTTCTGCCAACCACATATCCATCATCACCTGGTTGGCCCCTTGGCTACTTTGACCCTCTCTTTAATTACTCCTTGCCCATGCCGAGCAGAAATTCCACAGCTAGCAGGACAGTGGGGAGAGTTCAGGACTACTCTTCCCAGGACCCAAAACAGTTTGGGATAATGGTTTGGAAGCTTCAGAGAAAAGTTGCCAGTGTTCCTTGTGGTGGTGTCCTTCAGCACTGGCGCAGCATGTTTTCAGCTGCCCTCTGAGGATTTCTGGCTTCAGAACTTTCCTGTCCATGAGTGGAAAATGAAGCAGGAGATCTATAGATCTGCCCCTCGCCGGGTGTCTGCCTGAGCTGTGTGTGCCTTGGAGTTTTTGATTATGACTTACTCCTCTTTCTGGGATGTGTCTCCTCCCACATGACCCCCATGTAATCCTGAATAAGGTTTTTTTTGTTAGTTTTTGTTTGTGTGTTTTGGAGTATGCATGTGGGCTCCTTGAATCACAGCAGGGGATGTTTAATAAGAAGGCTAGAACTGGGCTCAGGGGTCCTCCAACAGGCTGTAACCTGGAAGGACTATGACACTTCCTTGGTCAGCAGATAATTCATTTAAGCTAACCAACAACTTTAGGAGTTCGGAGGACAAACTGCCTGGTCCCTGTGGGCTTCTAGCCCCTCCTCTCTAACGTGAGGATATTTCTCTCTGCTCTGCAGACCCAAAAGGTTTGATGGTGATCTGTGGGAAGTGAGGTTGGAAGGCTGATTCCTTCATTAGTGAGAGGTTTCTAGATGCCAGGTTCCCTTTAAGATCCCAAGTCCAGTTTCCATGCTGGAGCAGTGGCAGGACCAAGTTCTTTACCGGTAGTCTTTGGAGAAGCCACTAGAAGAGAGGTGCCAGCTGGTGCTGTGTACACAGTGATCTTCCTGGGTGGGTCCTGTATGTGGTCCATGTCTGCTGGGGTGGGAGGTGGGGGTGGCCAGGGGATATTGGGAAAAAACCATGCCTGGAGTTGCCTCTAGCTGACTTTTGGGAGCAGCTTGTGCTGCTATGGGTTCCTCCTGCCTGGAGCTGACCCTGGAGTGTGCAGAGAAGGATGTACGTCATGGTTTTTCAGTCTGCACCATATTGACGTTTTGAGCTAGGTAATTCCTGGTATGAGGGGCTGGCCTGTGTATTGTAGGATATTTGGTAGCATCCCTGGCATCTACCCTCTCAATGCCACCAGCCCTCTCCCTCTGCTGTCCCCTCCACAGTCTCCAGACATTGTCCCATTTGGGAGGAGGGGTACAAAATCACCCCCTGGTTGTGAATTACTGGTGTACTTATAAGTGATCTTACCCTCTTGGCAGGATCTCAGCCTTCCTCCCTGGGCTGCCTCTACTGCTGGGGACTGCCTTATCTGGAGGTGTATGTCAGGAGCTAAACATTGTTTTTCCTTGCAGGGTTCGGGGGTGATCAAGGCTGGCTTTGCAGGAGACCAGATTCCCAAATACTGTTTCCCAAACTAGTAAGTGTTGCTCAGACAGCAGCCCTAATCTTTTTGTTGGATTCCTGGAAGAACATTGGCTCTGTTTCACAGCTCTGTTGGAGGCCAACTCTTGCCCCCGACTTATAAGGGGAAACACCAGATTTGTGAGGCCAATGCTGTTACTGGCTCTGGAAGGACAAGACAAGTGCTCTGGGCTTCTTCCTCCTTGAAATCTGATTCTGGTCCCTCCTTGAGCCAGGCAGGAAGGAGAAGCCACCAGCATTCTCTTGGGAACAGGTATAGCAGCAGCAAGAATGGAAGGGAGATATCTCTGAGAGAAAAACTTAAACTCAGAGGAGAAAGAGTGGGGCATTAATGCACAGCCATCCCTTCCTCCCAGGAAATGTTTCTTTCAGGGCTTGTATTTTCCAACTCTAGAAAATAATGGGTTTTGGTCAAGGGGAGTGTTCCCTGAATGGAGCCATTGACAGCAGGGCTAAGGTGGGGTCGGAAGCACAGAGTGCTCCTTCGGCTACTGTAGCCCATCAGGAAGTTTTCCCTAGGTGGTGCCTCTTCTCAAATCCTGGAGGCTTTAGAGGGATTGGCCTAAGCAGGGGAATTGGGAGGGCCCCAAAGTGGCTGGCTATACCAAGAACCCCATGCCTGATCTGGGGACAGGGCCAGCTTGGAGCACCAGGCGCGCAATAGGGCTTCAGCTTTCTTTTCTGAACTCCACTTAGGTACAATTAAAAGTTCCTACTGATGTGCAGGGAACTCAGGTCAGATTTTAGAATGGTAGCTTGTCCAGTCTTCCAAGAACTGAATCTGTATCCTGAAAGCCCTGGGAGTGGGAAGGGGCAGGATCAAGTGAATGAGAGAAGGGTGCACAAGGGAGCCATGACCTGACTTCCTGGGACCTTGGTCTGCAGACAGTGCCAGCAGCCCTGCCCTCCTGAAATCTCGAGTGTGGGCTGAGTCATTGTGGCTGCAGAAGCTGACCCTCTGCCAGGGCTGGACCATGGAGCGCCAAGATTCCAGAGCTCTCAGCCCTCTCTGGGATGGAGGGTGGGGAACAGAAGGGATACCTTTTCTTCTGACCCTGAGCTTGCCATCCTGCCAAGGCCTGCTCTGTGGGCCCATATCCCCTAGGCCTGGGTTCTGGCCTTTGCTGCATGGCCAGATGCTTTGGAGTAGATACCATTTTGACCATAGGAGTTAGACTTTGGTTTTCCTGGACATGGGCTCACCCACGCCCCCTACCCACCTTGCTGACTTGACCGGTCCTTGCAGTGTCGGGCGTCCTAAGCACATGCGAGTGATGGCTGGAGCCCTGGAGGGGGACCTCTTCATTGGACCAAAAGCAGAGGTAACACCTGTGGAGCCTGCTTTGCCTGGGCTTGGGGCTTCATAGTCCCGGGAACATGGGCTCGTGGTCAGAGCTGTACCTCCCAAGAGGGAATCTCTGTTTTCTGGGGCCATCTGTCAGGTGTCTTCCTGGACTCCCAAGGCTCCGGCTCAGAAGTACTCTGAGATGGCACGATGGTTCCTGTTAGAGGAACACACTACTTCCATGCCCTGTCTTGTAGAGTGAGGCAGCTACAGAGGAAAGAGTTGATTAAAAAGGGACTTAAGAGTCTGGCTCCCTCAGCCCTGATGACTGATAGAAATGAGTGTTGTGGGGCCACCTCTTACACTCCAGGTGGGGTGACTTGTCTGTGCTGCAGGGCCAGAGGGGGCCCCCAAAAGAGGAGTGAAGGTATAGGGGGCAGCAGCAAGCAGCACCTGGGGGACACAGTTCAGGGAGAGGGGGTGAGCCAGGGGTACAGAGATGCAGGCCTCTCCAGAGATGGAGTCAGCAGGAGCCATGGCTGTGGGTGAGAGAGGTCAGGTGGTGTTTGGTGAAAGGGGGCATGCTCTGGGAGGACACAGAGGGGCAGGTCCGTGCAGGACACGTGAGCAGTGGTTGAAGAGCTGGAAGGAGCAGTGAGTGACAGGTGACCACAGGAGAGGACAGCATGGAATAGGCCACAAGGCAGCTCCTGGTGCCGTAGCAGTCATCATAGAATGGTGGGGAAGGAAACTGGGCAGCATGAGGAGAGAAGAGGGGAGAACGTGTTGGTAGCGAGTAGAGAAGCCCCGGGAGCACAGCCAGGGAGGACTATGATAGGAGGGAGCATGTCGCCACCCTCTCTGTCTCCTTCCAGTTGAAGCTGACTGGGCTCTGAGGCCTGAGAAGCTGCTGCTGGACAAAAGAGGCCTGTGCTGAGTTCAGAACCTGCCACCAGCCATGGGGACACCAAGGAAGCAGTGGTGGTTCTGTTCAGGGCAGATGAAGGGCGGCTTCCAGGACGGCAGAAAGCAATTGGAGGAGAGGGGCCGAGCTCTCCTGCTGACCTTACCCCCTTCCCCTGCAGGAGCACCGAGGGCTGCTGGCCATCCGCTACCCCATGGAGCACGGCGTGGTGCGGGACTGGAATGACATGGAGCGCATCTGGCAGTACGTCTACTCCAAAGATCAGCTGCAGACTTTCTCCGAGGAGGTGTGCCAGCCAGCCCCATCTGCCGGCCTCCCAGTTCCCTGTTCTGCCCTCTCCCTGCTCAGGTCTTCCTGCTTATGCTGTCACGCTTCCTCTGCATTTTATTAGGGCCTGCTGCCTCTTCATGGTGTGTGGGGGGGTCCACACAGTCGGTGGCTGCCAAGTAGAGTTTTCCAGAGAAAGCTGGGTCTTGGGAGGAGGAACTGCTGGCAGACAGTGGGATGCTACCCTTGGGAATGAGAGCAGGCCGCAGCTGCCTGTGCTTGCAGCAGGCATTTTGGCCAGTGAGGATTCCTTTAGGGCCTAGGATGTGGTCATGTGCCTAAACCTTGCCATCTCTTGTAGCATCCTGTGCTCCTAACGGAGGCTCCACTCAACCCAAGTAAGAACCGGGAGAAGGCAGCAGAGGTGTTCTTCGAAACCTTCAACGTGCCAGCCCTGTTTATCTCCATGCAGGCCGTGCTTAGCCTGTGAGTGCTCCCTAAGCCCTAAAGTCCCCTGAGTCCCCGTCCTCCTTCTGGCCATTCTCCTGCTTTTGTCAGACTAGCCCATAGAAACAGCCCCCTGGTAACTCTTCCTTTCAGGAATTCCTCAGGTTCCTTTTTGAGACCTGATAAAGCAAATGTCCCAGGGTCCCTTCCAGGGGTGAGGAGGTCCCCATGCCTCATTGGTTGAGGTGAAGGGATGCTGACTTGGTGACAGGTATGCAACAGGACGCACGACGGGAGTGGTTTTAGACTCAGGAGATGGGGTCACTCATGCTGTCCCCATCTACGAGGGCTTTGCCATGCCTCATTCCATCATGCGGGTAGACATTGCCGGCCGTGACGTCTCCCGCTATCTCCGGCTCCTGCTGCGCAAGGAAGGAGTTGACTTTCACACCTCAGCCGAGTTCGAGGTTGTCCGGACCATCAAAGAGGTGACAGAGGGCAGGAGGGTATAGAGGCAGGCTGGGTGGGGCGATGGGCAGTGGCGGCCTCAAGGCGCAAGGTTGAGCCCCGGGCAGGCATAGGTTTCCCAGTTGCAGCCTTCTGAGTGTTGTGTCCCTGCCCTCCGCAGCGAGCCTGCTACCTATCCATCAACCCGCAGAAGGACGAGGCTCTAGAGACAGAGAAGGTGCAGTACACCTTGCCAGACGGCAGCATGCTCGACGTAAGTTGCCAGGTCTGGCGCTGGGTGGCGGAGGTGATGCTGGCATCTAGAGAAAGAAGAGGTCCGTCCCCCTCAATCTTGTGTTCCAAAGGTGGGGCCAGCGCGCTTCCGGGCCCCCGAGCTGCTGTTCCAGCCAGACCTGGTAGGTGATGAGAGTGAGGGGCTCCACGAGGTGCTGGCCTTCGCCATCCACAAGTCCGACATGGACCTTCGCCGGACGCTGTTCGCCAACATCGTGCTGTCAGGTGGCTCCACACTTTTCAAAGGTACCACCATTTGGGAGGTGGTGCTCAAGATAGCACTTAGATGGCACCCAACTCCCTGGAGCTTGGCACGTGGCCCATTTTCTCTTGGCTTTTTTAGTACTCAGCATTTGGTGTTTTTTAAGAGAAAGATTTAAAGTTAAGTTTTACTTTTCAAGTAGATGCTGCATTCACATAAGATCTAAAATGTGTGAGACGACATCTCCCTTTTCCCACTGTCTTGGTCGCCCCGCACCTGCTCCCTCTCCGGCAGTTACACAGCCCTCAGCTGTGTGGGTATAAACAAATGTGCATTGCCCCTTGATCCCGCTTTTATGCCCATCATAACATGCTCCCCAAGCAGCAAACCATGTATGTTTCTTGGAGCCCCATGTATGGAAGATCTTTCCCCATTCATGTAAGCTCCTTCAGACAGCCATGTGGCATTTCTGAATGGATATGCCATTTCCCCCGTTGACGGCCGATGGCCTGTGAGGTCGCTGCAGCCATCTCTCTAATCCCAGAGGTGCTGCGTCCAATAACCTCACATAATGGGAATATCCCTAAAGGGGAAATCCCAGGAGACTTGCTGAGTCAGAGGGTGGACACAGGTTCTTGTTAGCTGGTAGGTCAGTGGGAGTCCCATCAGCGCCCTCCCAACACTGCATGTGATCTTAGCCTCTGCGGTGGGCAGAAATGGTAGATGTTTTCCCCTGATTTGTCATTTACCTTTGACTTTGCTTTGGATGGAAGAGTGCAGAGGCCAGACCAAGCTGTGTGACTAGGGGTTCCCTCTCCTGCTGCCTCTCTGAGGAAGCTGGGCCCATCTCAGGCATCGTGCTGGCTCTTTCCTGCCCTTGGGATGACTTGCCCCCATCCTTGATCCTGGAAAGAATTACTAAAAGAAGCAGCACCACTACTAAAAGTGGCAGCAGCTAGGGGCACCAGAGGGTGGAGATGGGGGTGCTAGTATAAGGGGGTTCAGATGTGGGCCCTGGGCTCAGCGAGCCTTGTGTTCACAGGCTTTGGTGACCGATTGCTAAGTGAAGTGAAGAAGCTTGCCCCAAAGGATGTCAAAATCAAGGTGAGTTTACAGGGAGCCCCATAGGCCATGCAGGTGCTAGGTAACCTTGACTGGGGGAGGAAAGGGCACATGCCACCTCCAGACAGCTCAGCTCGGCTGCCTCCTCCGTGTTCGGCTGCTCCCACTGCTCCCCACTGATGCACTTGCTACCTGGCCTTGGGCCCTGAGGGGAAGTCTCTAAAGGCTGGGGTAGGGGCTGCTGTGTGAGGATGGGCAGTTATACTGCTGCTTTTTCCCTCTAGATCTCGGCCCCACAGGAACGGCTGTACTCCACGTGGATAGGGTGAGGCGGGGCTCAAGGGGAGGGCTCTGGGAGGAGACCATTGGCGCAGGCCAGGTGGCAGTGGGTGGGTTTCCCTCCCAGTTAAAGGAGATGGAGCTCTGAGTGCCCAGAAAGGGTCGATGGCCCAGCCCTTGGGTCCACAAGAGTCTATCCCTCCCTTCTCACAGTGGCTCCATCTTGGCCTCACTTGATACTTTTAAGAAGATGTGGGTATCCAAAAAGGAGTATGAAGAGGATGGCTCCCGTGCTATTCATCGTAAAACCTTCTAGTGCCCAAAGAGGTGTAGCGTGTTAGGAGAGTGGGAGGAAAAAGGAGTCAGAGCCCTTAACCCTTGCTGGTCTGGGCTCATATCTCAGGCCTAGGGTCCCCTGCATGCCCTGAACCCTGGGCAGGTGGGGTAGCCATGCTTCCCTGCGGCCCTCCCCTGCAGACGCGCATGCGTGTGCACGCGCATGCGCGAGCTCACACACACACAGACACAGTAACATTTAGCTGCATGGATGGAGTCATGAGCTGGAATTTAAGAATTGAGGAGCCTAGCTTTGGATTGTTCCAGGGATCTCCCATGGAAAGGTCTTGTTCTGACCCTTGGGGCCGCTTCCCCAGACTCCAAGGCCAGATACCCAACATCCCCGTTTCCTTTGACAGGATCCCTCCCAGAGCCAGAGTGCCTGGATGCCTGCGTCACTAGGCTTGAGGCAGGGGGTGGAGGGGTAGGCAGTGGCTCTCCACTGGTGTGTCACTGCTTCCTGTGCCACACCTAGGCATTCCTTAGCTATCACATTCAGCCCTCCTGTCTTCCCCGGGGGGATGCCTTGGTGTGGACTGAGGACTGGGCAGTCTTCCATCCCCAGCCAAGGGTCTGGCCTAGGATGACCCTTTGGAGCCAGGGCAGAGGATCACGGGGTCCAGGCGGCTGCAGTTCATTGTGGTCTCCCTTTAAAGCACTTCATTGACACTGTTCCCTCTCCTTTACCTTAGTGCCCTGGATGGGAAGGGTTAACAGTCTTCATTTGTTGAGAGGAGGCCACTTAATCTGGAGTCAGACCTAGAGGGCGTAAGGGGCCACATTTCCTTTTCCCACCTCTCCCATGGTTTTCACTGACCTTGTGGCCAGGACCCCCACTTCCCTCTCCCAGATATGTACAATAATTTAACAGTTGCCTGAAAACTTTTATAAATCATTATAGTAATGATTATGGACAAGCCATAGTGCGTGGCTCTGTTTTCTTGTGGTTCTTTGTGTTGTTTTTCACTCATCTGTCCCTGGGGACTTGGAGAGAAAAGGACCGGCCAGAAGGCAGCATGGCACTGGCTCTGGATCAGAAGCCTGAGGGTTTGAGGGGTTGGCGGGGCAACGGGGCACAGGAGGCCCCAGGAGGTTGGGCTCTCGACATGGTGGTAGAATTCCCAGCCTCATTATGCACTTGCTGTAATCCACCAGGAGGAGCAGAGAAGAAGGCTGCCTTAACTCGGCCTTACTCCTGGATAGGACCTCATGGCAGGCAGGGCTGGGGCTTGGGGCATCTGCACCCACACATTCTGTTTGGGCAGCTCTGCTGGCCTGCTCAGACATGGCCGAGGCTGACAGACCCAACAGTGACACGGGCTCAGGGCTGAGCCAGCTGGAAGGGGACTGCTGGGGGAGGTGAGAAAGCTGTTGATGAGCTAAGCTCAGAAGGAAGAAGCTGAGTGGCAAGGGATGGGAGGGTACAGAGAAGCATGAGTTTGGTGACTGCCTGCCCTTTCCTTCCTTCATCAGGAATTTGGACACCTGGAGTATGTCCAGGAAGGTATCACAAGTTTGGGGCCAGTGGTAAATAAGTCTTTGCCCCCAAAAACATATGGGTCAGAGGAAAATGATGAACTGGCCATTTTGGTAGCACTATGGGGCTGGGAAGAGGGGCATCTAACCCAGCAGGTGGCGGACTGACTTGCATGGGTTCACATGGGGTCAGTGTTCCAGGTTGAGGTGAGAGCTCAAGGGACCAGTGGGGCTTGAGAGAAGGGCATGGACTCAAGTGATGCGAAGTCAGCAGGGAAGGGTAAGTGGCCGTCTCTGTTTATAATGCAAGATAAACCTGAAAGGGAGGTTGGGGCCAGCACATGGAAGGCCTTGAGAGGGTTTTTAGCTGTGTCCTCGGTGACAGGTAGCCAGCCATGGGAGGATGGTTGTCATAGCTCTGTGTTGAAGGCATCCGGAGTTGGGGCTGAAGGAGGGCCAAGAGCTGAGATCAGGTCATAGGTAAGAGCTGACTGAGGTTTATTGTCACAGGGCATTTTATGAGGCTTTGTGGTCAGAGGAGTTAAGCCTGTACATGCCCTCAAGGGGAAAACAATTTACAGAGAACCTTTTTGGGTTGGGTTCATGGTACCACCTTCTCCAAATTTATACAGGTTTGGAGCATTATTACTTTGACTCCTCCCTTTTTGTTACCTTCTCTACTTTATGCCATTTACCAAGTTCTTTTGGTTCTTCTATAATGCCTTTCCTACCTGCCACTCCTTTACTGTGACGGCCTCTACCATCCAGTCTTAGAACGCAAGCTTCATTCACCCCCCTACCCAGTCCATTTGCTCTTGGATCTCAAGCCCACATAGCCTTGGTTCCACCACTTCCTAATCCAAAATGTCAGGCAGTTCTCCACTGCCTGGCAGAATAAAACCAAACTGACATGACGCAGGTGAAACCCCCTTCATGAACTACATGCTGCATTAAGTTTAGGCCCACTGGGATCTGTTCCTTTCCTGTTTTGGGTTCACATATCATCATGCTTCACCCACCAGCTTCTACTCTCTGCCGGGAATGACTTTCCTTCATGTCTGTCAAAATCCCATCATCTAAGGCCAAGCCAAGCACAATGCAGCATCCCCCCCAGTTCCCTCTTCCAGTAGGGACAATACGTTACAGACCTCTGGTCATGCCAGGTTTCCCACTGTTGGAGAGAAACAAAACAAAAAGGTGGTAAGGCTAGAACTAACTTGGTGGTGGTGCTGGATTGGGACTGGATGTATGGACTCGTGATTTTTAATACACATACAGATAGATCTGAAATAAATAGGCCTCAGTGTGTGAATGCTAGAATGTATGTGTGGATTTCCCAGCCCTGTCTGCTCAGCGGGCCTAGGCACAGTGGCACCCCAGGAGCAAAGGCACAAAAGTGTCCAGATCAGGCTTCTAAACACCACCATTCAATAAAAGGAATCAGAGCTCCGTGGAGGAATTCCAGATCTAGAGCAGAGAAAGTAGTGTGGTACCACAGAGTAAGGAAGTGCCCCAGAAAGGAGTGGGCTTGTCTTAAACACAGAGAAACCAACTTGAAGGAGTACCGAGTGATCAAATCTGTGGTGGATTATAAGCCATAGAATAAAACATTTATGAGCCCACTCTGATATAAATTGAATAGATGTATACACAGAGGCCCAGAAACAGTTCTTCCTTACATTAGTTCAGTTCCTGCAGAAGGAATAATAATGGAAATCACCAGAGGCAGGGAAACACTACAGTATTAACTGATATAGACAAAAATGGAAGCAAACATTAGTAAGCAAAAGCAAGGACATTTGCATTGTTTCAGAGTACCTCCCCACAAGGTAACTAGTAACTGCAAAAAGGAAAAATAGTAACTTTATGGCCAAGAAACCTAGTGGACAGCACCTTAAACCAATGACCAAAGTGTGCATCCCCAGTCATTAGTCACTGTCTCTTGGGGTGACACACTAAGGGTGCTGTGTCACCTGTGCTACACCCATCACTTCAGTCTGGCCAGGAACAAACCGGCAAACCCAAACTCAGAGCATCCTACAAATTAATGGACCAGTTCTTTTATTCAAAAGTGACAGGTTATGAAGGTAAAGATAGCAACTGTCACAGACTGGAGAAGACTGAGGCATGACAGTGAAATGCAATGTGAGGTCTGGGACTGGACAGAGACCTTACTGGGAAAGCTGGCAAAATTAGTGAACAGCACGGTGTCAGTATGAATTTCCTGGTTTCAGTCATTGTGCTGTTAACATTAGGGGAGACTGGGTGAAGGGTAAATAGAACTCTGTGCAGTCTCCGCAAATCTAAAACCACCTCAAAGGGGGGGTGTGCAGGGGTGGGAAGAGCTCAGGCCCAAGCTAAGTGTTCTGCATTCACTGTCCTGTCACCACAACTAGCTAGCTGCATAATCCTGAGCTTTCCTAGGATTCCCCATCTCTACTATGGGGGTGACAATAATAGTACCTACCTCATGGGTTTATAAACAGCCTGGAAAGTTGAGCCTGGAGCATTTTATGCGGTAAATAAAAAAAGTGCTCAAACTGGGGCGCCTGGGTGGCTCAGTGGGTTAAAGCCTCTGCCTTCAGCTCTGGTCATGATCCCGGGGTCCTGGGATCGAGCCCCACATCGGGCTCTCTGCTCAGCAGGGAGCCTGCTTCCTCCTCTCTCTCTCTCTCTGCCTGCCTCTCTGCCTACTTGTGATCTCTGTCAAATAAATAAAATCTTTTAAAAAAAAAAAAAGTGCTCAAAGAATGATAGGGACATGCCAAAAGGCCGTAGGCACCAACTTGAAGAAGCTCCTACCAGCCAAATTTGGAACAAACTAATCATCAGAAGCTAAATACCTGTTATGAATTATAATCCACTGACTATAATAAAGCATTTGAGTCCATACGGACATAAATTCATCAAAGTTCTGGTGAGCGAGTTACATCTCAGTGCTGCCCCCATAAGATACTTACTAAGGAACAACTGCACAGTGAGGAAGTCTGGGAGACATTAGTTTAATCAGGCGACCAAAGTGAACCCTATCAGCAGTGGGACAAAGCGACATCAGATGCCTAGCAAGAAGAGTGTGGAATCACCTCTGCAGTGCTCGTGCCCAGGACACATAATCCTGAACCCAGTCCTCAGGGAACATCAGACCAAACCGAGTTGTTGGTGTAATTTTCAGAAGTGTCAAGGTCACAGGAGTCAGGGAAAGACAGGAACTGTTCCGGAGTGGAGACAACTAAACGGACAGGACAACTAAAGGCAACATACGATTCTGAACTGGCTCTATAAAGGGCATAACAGGCACAGTTAGCAACCTTGAATAGGGTCTGAGCATTAAATGGCAGAAATGTATAAACTATAACTTCCTGATTTTGATGGTCATATTGTAGGTATATAAAAGAATGTCTTTGTAAAACACATACACTGAAGTGTGATGGGGCATCGGATCAGCAGCTCACACTCAAACTGTTCCAGCAAACAAGTTCTTTATTCTGTACTTGCAGACTGTTTCATACCATCAGAGTGAAGCTCATCTTCTTCCCTCGCTTCTATAGGCTGCATTCCTTGCCCAGCATTCCTTCGCTTATAACCCCTTCTTCCACCTTCAGAACAACAGCACTGCATTTCTCTGACCATTCTCCCATAGTCACATCTCCCTCAGACTCTCCTGCTGCTGCCCTTCATTAT